CCTATAAAAAAAATAATCAGGGGATATAGGAAAAGACTTCAAAAGAGAAAGAAACACCCTTTTACAGTCCTCTGTAATCAATCTCTTTGTTCATTCAATTACCCATTAGTTGTTTGATTTGTTCATTCAAATACTTAAGGCTCATGTGTGCCAGTATTCCCTATTAGATGTTTTTCAAATTAAAAAAAAAATCTATTTGAGATTTTTCCTATAGAAACATGCACCCAATTTTACAATGGATAAAAGGAAGGGTCTCTTTACAGAAACTTGCTTAGTGTCTATATTTATAAGAAAAGACTCGTAAGAACTAAAACATATCGAACTACTTCAAGACCCAACTATCCACCCTTAATCTCTGCTTATTCTTACCAGCATTTTTAGTTGAACAAACTTATCTTCACAAACTATTGGAAAAGGGGGGAATTGAGAACACTTGTCACTCCGCAGTGAGGACAGCAACACTGAAGAGCACTCTCCACTTGTCTAATGGTGACAGCTCTAAACAACCAAGGACTGCAAACATAAGCTATGCTCCACCACTAGCTTTTCCCCAATAACAAGGAAGTACAATTTCAAAATGATCCCTTAAATAATCTTTATATTTAGTATTCTAACCAAGCAGAACTTAATGAGAAAAATTAATAATGATAGTGGAGATGAGCAGAACAATTGAATGGGAGCATTCTGTTTTATAAAAATGGTACCATTTCAATTACTATCTTAAATGGGGCTTTATCTTCAATAGAACAACTACACACTAGTTGACACTAAATATTTCTTTCTGAGAATTCTAGTAGACCAACTCTTTGTAAGCTACTAGAAAAATTTCATTCACATTTTAAAGGTATTTAACATTATTTTTTAAAGCTTTTACTTGCAAACTGTTCTGATATTTTGTTTTGTTTTAAGTAGCTTCATATCTACTGACCATCCAAAAGCCAATAAAGAAACAATCTGTTCAATATATTTATTAGGATGGCCACCACAAAAAACAAATATCCTGCCTTCTCTCGGTGTGTGTGTGTGGGGTGTACGAAGTGCTAGGGAGGCTATAGAGAAATAACCTTTGTGCACTATTGGTAAGAATATTAAAAAGATAGAAACTTCTATGGAAAAAGTATGGAGGTTCCTCAAAAACTTATTTGTTGCCTTTTAATTTAGCAGGACTGACCAGGAACAGGACCTTCATGATATAGTTGCACATATATCCTCAGCAGCACAACAGAAGCAAAGGAGAAGTAATCCAAGTGTCAGTGTACAAACAATGCAGCATAGTCATACAACAGAAAGTCTTAGAAGAAAGAGAAAAGTTAACACATACTACCACAATGTAAAGACTGCCTCTGAAGTGAAATTCACAGAAAGACAAAACCCGTGTGATTCTAGTTACATGAGGCATCCAGAGTAGCCAGGTTTGCGATTCAGAGAGAATGGTGGCACCAGAGGCTAAGATCAGTGGGACGCTGGGAGTTGTAAAATGGCTATAGATTCAGTTTTGCAAGAAGATTGGTCATATGACAAAATTTGCCATTGATAAATTTTACACTTAGAAATGGCTAGAATAGGAAATTTTATGTTAAGTCTTTTAACTAAATAAAACATACACAATCACTTCAAATGCTACAAGGAGATAGTCATGGAGTAATTTCTTAATTCTTTATATTACATTTGTCTAAAAGATTATGCCTGGCAAACAGATAAGTTTGTTAATTTTTTATTGGAGAAAACATGAATTTTAATATCAAATTCAATACAAATACCAAGTATTTCATTCTTGATACTTCAAGAG